GTTGGTAAAAAGTAAACAAAAAATAAAATTTGGATCTCATTCTATTATAATTGCAATATGTAGACAAAATAAGGTTACATTGATATGTTTTTATTTAAAATAACAATTATTTTGAAATATTTTTAAAGTTTATTTTTAAAACCATTATTTTAAGAAGATGATAAGAAGCCCTAATTTTTACAAACTAAAATTAAATGTTACTCTATAAAATTTATTTCGTCAGAGAATTTAGGTAGATTACACCAACTTCTTAGGCAAAATGTAAGTTTACTATTAAGGTTTACCTAGTTGCCATTAGTGAGATATTTATGATGTAATATTTTATTAGAAGTGACTCTAAAATGTTTATACCTATTGGTTTTCATTAGATATATAAATAATAATCTATAGATAATTATATATCATGACATAACAACTCTTAACAACGTTGTTAAATCCATAATACTATTTTATAAAGTTATAAGTTAAAGCTATAACTGGAGTTATAGCAACTACTGTAAAACGTATACTATTAGGTTGTATATATCCATCAAAAATCACATAATAATATATAATAACGGTATAGTGTATTAGAATATGTAAGTTGTTGAGTTTTAAGAAACGTTGTTGCAACGTCGGTATAACCCTTATATAACTTTTTGTGTTACTTGGGTTGTTTTAAAAAACAGGCTATTTAATTTTGCTGATATAAATAAATATGTAAAAAGACATAATTATAATCATAGAATAGTAGAAATACCTATCTAATTGCAAAGCAAACTAAATAGAATAAACTTATTAAAATTATATTACTTTACAGGCCTCCCACAATAGATGAACGGGAATTCAACCTGAACTGCACCGCTACTTAAGGGAATCTATAAATAATAATTATGATATGCATGTAATTGTGGATGACATAAATATTCATATACTTCGAGACGATGAAGTTTAATCAAATGACTATTTAAATGGTTTTAAGAAAGTTTAGTTTTGCTTCAACAATAGGTAAATGTTCCTTTTAGGATACAAAGTTCACATGTTTGTATATATAAAAGTGAAGAAGTCGAAGATTCTATGTTTTGGATACCCTCGTTACTAATTATAAAGCTACAATTTTAAATATAAATATATTTAATGTAAAGGAACCTGCGAATAAAATTAAAGCTGATTTAACTTCTCATGATTAAAATATAAATAAGAAGAAATAACAAATTACTTTGTTATCATTCTTAATACCCTTATTTCTAACAATACAACTATACTTAAACAAAAAGGTAATTAATTAAAAAGAAAGAGTGGATTGCGGTGGTTTTCATGAAATCAATAATAACACGGAGTAAATTGTATGAAGCATATCAAAGAGAAATAGGAAACAAAGTTTTAAAAGAGCAATTTATTAATTACAGGAATTCTTTAAACCACCTTATTTAAGCTACTAAACTTAATTTTCAGAGGGAACAGATAAAATCAAATAAAAATAAATCTCAAAAATGATGGAAAACAATAAAAAATATAACAAATATTAAATATTATGACTGACATAAAAGAAGTAATAACAAAAAAGGTAAATATGTTGAGAATAAAGTACAAAAAACAGAAGCATTTAATGAATTATTTTAGGAAGTAAGGCTTTATTTTGCTAAGGATTGAATCGCAAATAATAACACTATATTCCTAAAACCCACAAATAGAAAAAGAAATTATAAAAACTTTAAAAAATAATAAAAGTCCTGAATTAGATAGAGTTAGATATAACTGCCGAAACATTAAGAGGAAACCGGACCTTTCGCGAAAACAAACATGTTTTAAGGATTTTCTAATATAACATTGTATTTATGTGCATGCCACCAGGGCCGCCGAGAGCCAGGCCGGGCCCCAGGACAACTCTCTAGATCGGGCCCCGTAATAAAAAAAAATCTTTAACCAAAAACTGTTCCTCTTTTGCTGAAATAGATTTTTTTCTAAAAAAAAAAGGTCCTCACATTAAAAAACTAACTTAACTTCCCTCTCTCATCTTGTGTCGAATTTCTCATGCAGAACAAAACTGCCTGTTGTCGGGCTCCCCTCACAGCGCTGCCGGGCCCCCATTTAAGCCCGGGCCCTGGGAATTAGTCCCGGCTACCCCCCCTCTAGTCGGCCCTGCATGCCACTGGGAATACTTCGCGATATTATGTGTCTTGAGAATATTAATAGCTTTAAATTTTTACAACGATACGGCAGCACTCTACAGAGACGTTTTAGAAAAAAAGATGGGAAATTAATTCATTTAAAAACTGCTAGATATTTATTGAAATAAAAAGCAGCAAATTTTCATAGATTAAATACAGAATGGCGCTTAAACTTTTGATTTAAAATGTCTAATAAAAAATTTAAAATTAAATACTTTTCGAAGGTTTATAAAATATTCAAGGTTTGTTTCTCCACCCTAAGTTTTATTATTTTTGGTATTTCCTGAATTTCACCTGAATTAAAAGAAATTCGTACAGAACTTTCTTCGCCACTATGCTTTGTTATTAATTTGATTATAGAAACTGGTATTTGTTTGATATAATTCAAATCTGCAGTTATAAAACCTCTACAGACCTGTTTCTATAATAAACAATTTCTTAAAGTTTTTTGAAAACGTTATAAAAATAAGATTAGAATCATTTTTGAATATTATTTCTAAAAAATTATTTGGATTTCGTTCAGGTATTTCTTTAGAAAATGCAATATTAGACCAAACATCAAAAAGGCGTTCAATACAGTAGAACACTCACAACTGTTGGATTCTTTGTAACTATTGACAACCATCTTCGTTGGGACTATCATATTACTAATGTTATAAAAACTCTTAGGTCATTATTAGCTAAATTTAAATTTTTACCAAAAATTCTGGACTTACCCTATCTTAAAATACTGTATTAGGGATTGGTTGCTTCTCGCCTCTCCTATGGAATTGTAGGATGGAGAGGAGTAACATAGATTTATCTAAAAAACTTAGAGTTTGTCCAAAAATTATTCTTAAAAATAATTTTTCAGAAAAATATTACTTCCCCTTCGAATGATCTTTATCAAGAGGCAGAAATCCTAGACTTAAAACAGACATTTTATTTAAAGGGTGAATGTTTATTAATTAAAGAAAAATTACTGAGGCCCTTCCTACACAGAGAAAACACTATCGTACTGTCAATGATAATACCATTAAATCAATGGTATAATCTATTCTGTATTCCGCGATCATAATAGTATTAAGTTCAATGCTAAACCTATCATTATTTGTTAAATTCATAATATAATTGTAATAAGAATAAGATCTCATTGGTTGTCAATGAAATATTTAAAAATAGTTTTCGTTCGGATGTCGACATGAGTTTTCTTTTATTTCAATGAACCCTATTGTTGGTTTAAACGTTTCTTTCTTTGCAACAGAATATAATATAATTTGGGTGAAGTATTATATTTTTAGTATAATTATTGTATTATTGAATAAAGTAAAGCCTTGTATAAGAAAAGAACTTTAGTATAATCAAATCAAATACGTATGCCCTTTATTTAATTTTTAGAATTTTTTATTTCAAAAGATCACTATAATCATTAGAACAATATTTTAATATTACTTCTTATTGGTTCAAATAATAATTTTACTTGAAACACGAATAATTCACATTGAATTAAAAAAATATTTTTTCCACTTAATTACACCTTTTCATTTAATAAATTACAGAATTATTATTGAACCAGTTGTACATAATTTAGACGGAATTTAAAAGAAATTTTGTAGATATTATTTGGAATAAAATCTCCAGGAGTTTTTTGGAAATATATTTAAGAAACATTTCGAGAAAAGGAATATACCCGTTTTCATTGCAAAAAATAGTTAATGTATTTTATTTTTAACTTTGAGAACAGTCTTTCCCGAATCGTTATTTAAATAAAATTTTTCAAAAATAGCTGATGGTTTTATTTCAAATAATATCTACATTTATTTTAATTCCGTCAAAATTTGGGTGGTTCAATGTATTTTAATAATTTATCAATTATTATTGTCAACTAACAATTAATTACAGAAATAAAACAAATTTTATTATTTGAAAACTAGTTTTATTATATAATTTAATATATTTTGGATAATCTTGGCTTGCGCTGATTTCAACGGTGTATTACAATGTGTTTATTGGGGTTATGATCGACAAGTAATGTTATTTTTAACAGACACGTTATTTGTGAACAGGTTGTAATTTCTGTGTGTTTATAAAATAACAGACCTGTTAAAAATAACACAGGTTGTCAATCATAACCCCCTATGTGTTTGAACATGACCTATATCCACCTGAAAATAACATATTTTTTTAGTTTAGGTGGCTGTGGTATCAAAACTGTTAAAAATCGAGAAAAAAAGGTTTACATGATTCCTACCCTAACTTTTTAAGATGTATACAGTGGTAATGCCCAGTTTTTCCCTACTTAGTCAAGTTTTACAAAACTAACTACATCAACAATATTTAAAGAATTTTTTCTGCTGCAATGTCAATTACATATATAACCTGTTGTATTATAGGCCAAATATGTTCACTCTACACTGGGTATTCTATATGAAGGGCGAAAAACATTTAAATAAAGTGTCCAGTCCTTTCAGAGCACTTTCTACATGAAAGTGTATATTGTCGATCACGAGATAGTTATTTTGAATTTGGGAGAGCTGATGTCCTTCTGCAAGTAGATAAGGCTGGACTTGTCTGAATATTTTTCTTTCGAGGACTCGATTTACCTGATTTTCTCTTTGCCTCTCTATATCCCCGGGTATCTAAAACTAAAAAAGTGTTGTTTGTCATTGAAGTCAACTTAATCAAGTAAAATTAATAATAATATACAGAGTATGATCCATTTATTACTACAAATACACGAATCACCCTGTATATTTAAATTTTAATTTAAAAAAGCTATCAATTAGATTATAAATTTGGGCCTAACATGGAATTTATTCAAATATGATTGGCATGACCATTTTAGAAATGTTTAAAAACTTGCAAACTTACCGTGGCATGCACCAAAATCCCATCTACTGCCTCAGTTGTACTAAATTTCCAATGATTTTTGCCATCTCTTTTTCTACCTCTAGATGGTATAATTCTAGCAAAGACTGCAAGCTGTAGAACTACTTTAGAATCTAAAAAATTATACATAACTTTGTTACTGACGAAATACTTGCAAAAAAAATGTACACCAATGATTACTTTTGGAAAAATGACAGAAATAATCTTTAATTTCAGCCTCAAGGTGTTTTAATTCAATATAAAATTATTTAATTCACAAACCTGATAAATCTACTTGTTCAAGAGAGCTTAGGTATTAGATCTTGCAAAATAGCGTCTCTTGAATTATTTATTTCTGTTCTCTTAAACACCAACAGTTTTTCAAAAAATACATGCCAGTAGCTCTTTATCTGGGTACATACATTTTAAATTAGCGTCAGTCTGAAATAAAAAATTATTCTGTTTTATATAACTACAATAACAACCTTAGTATATTTGAGTTATTATTGTATATATTTAAAAAATATGTTATGTACCTAATTCTACTTTAAATTTTGTAAAAAGAGAATTATTTATTGAGAATAAATTACATACTAATGAAGGTGCCCTAGTATAGACCAGTTTATGATAAATTCTACGACTGTATTGAAATTTCCAAATGATCTTATATCAAAAGTCGATTGCCATTGCCTCATAACCTCATCTTACGGTTTTCGGTTATGTTTCAGCCATGTCAGCATTTTTTTCACCTAAAAGATAATTTTAAATAAATAATCATACTAAACCAAAATATATCGAGATACAATTTGTTATTTTTTTTATTTAGTTATGCATTGATCTGTCCTATTAAAAAAATATTATTACAAGGTATAGATATACCTTTCGTGTTTTCTTTGTCTCTTTTTTCAGGTCTCATTAGGATCAACAGTAGAATTTTTTCTTTTTATGATTTATGTTTTGTCTGGTTCCAACGGTTAATAACTATAAAGAGCATGCGCAATCCTTTTTATTTTGGCATTCGTTAAATTTGCGCATCCTCCTTATAATTATTAAACCGTTGGGACCGCTTCTGAAACCTTATAAACTTCAAAATTTTAAACTACACATTATACCTACATCAGTTTAAAAAATTATGAATAGATTTAAAAAAGCGTATTTAACCATTTTTTCATTTAGACAAAAGAACCTATAATGGCGACTTTCGATCAAACGATACCTAAAAGTAATTCTGAAAACAACTGCGATGGAAGCTACGGCGTCGAAAGTATTTACATGATACCTATAAACGAGAAATGTACTTACCTAAAAAAATTGGAACTAGTTGCTCCATTTCCCAGACATTTAAGAGTTCATTTATATCCATTTTAACTTTAACAAAATAGCTGCCACTTACAATCACACACGTGGATCTAGAAACTGCATTTAACCCTTTGTCTCTAATTTGCAAACTGGTAAACTGCGTAAAGTATTCGCAGTCATACACAAGTCTGCTTCCGATTACACCCGCCACCCCGCCGAAATGAGGGAACGGTATTGCCCCAACAATAAGAGTTATTGAAGATTGTATACTATAATTGCTTTGATAAAATATGTAATTATATTTAAAAATAGAAATATTTAAACCTATCATACTTTAAATTAGATCGAATTTCAACAGAAATTAAATGAATATATTTCTCTTTTCGCACAAAAATATTGTAATTACTAATTATTGATTAAAAACTATAGTTATATCATTTAGTTATACTGTTTTCTTGAGTAGAGATTTTCATTCAATCAAAAAAATTTTGATTTTAAAGAAAGTATTAAATGTTGTTGTGTCAAATTAGTGTCTTGTTATTTGAATAACTTTATTATTTTTTCACGTAATTATATTTATGCTTACCGCTTAAAAATTATTTTATAGTTAAAATAAACATACTTCTCAAATTTGTTAAAGAATATTTTATTGATTGTATATTTACTTTAATTGAAGTAAAGGGAATGTTTTTAAATGAAAGACTATTCTTGCAAATACAATAGCGTTTTTTCTGTGTATGGGGCCTCAGTATTGCATTTGTGCAGACGAAAAAATTTTCTTGCCCCCATTTTTTAAAACTTTTTTTTATGTTTCCGATCATTCTGAGTACGGAAATGCAAAAAAAAATTGTCGTCTGGTCATCTGTGTGTATGTATGCCGGCACAATAACTCTAGAACGACAGTTCTGATTGACTTACGGTTTTGATTTTCTTGAATAATTACTTCTAACTTAAAACTCTATTGATTTTCAGAATTTTCAGTTCATCCTAACTACTATAATATCAATTTTCTTAAAATCTGCCTATGCAATTCTTATGTGACAATTTTAAAAATTCCAATTATTTTTAACGTCAACATTCCTAACATTCGCAACATTCCATAAATTGCAAACATTCTCTAACGACCTGTCAAACAACAGCTGTTGATAGCAAAGGTGAAATTTCTAAGGCGGGTTGCGACCTTCACACTTGCAACCATGGCCATTTTGAAGGCTATTTTTGTTCGAAATTATTCGTCAAGCCTGCCAATTTATGTAAAATATATAAGCTGTTTCTTAAAAATGACTTTTTATGGTGGTGCTAACTTAAGCGTACTACTAGTTAAAAAAGTTAAAAACCCTACTCAATATAAAGATACACGGAAAAAAATGTGACTAGAAAATTTTACTACAATGTTGTAGTAGTAGACTTGTAGAAAAATACCTAACAATTTGTAGAAAATTTTACTACAATTTATAGTTAAAAACTATTAGTTATTGTAGCAATTGAATTGTCGAATAAAATGCTACAACAATAGGAAAGAAGTCCACAATGTTTAGTATATTTTACTATTGTTTGTAGAAGTAGAAATTTATTACAATTATCGTAATTACTACTACTAACTTCTGTAAAAATTTGTACAAATATTAATAATTATCTCTACAAAAAATAGTAATTTTCTCTACAAAAAATAGTAATTTTCTCTACAAAAAATAGTAATACTTTACATCCCTTCTTCAAAAATATTCTATAATATTGTAGAAATTCTAAGTCATGTGAACAAAACAGAATTCTGCTATTGGCCAACGTTTTCTGACGTCGATCATAAACGGCCAGACAGCAGTAGCCGTTCGCCATGTTCACATAACAAAGCATGGTACATATACGAGTACCTATAATACATTATTATATTATAAGCACCGATGCGTTTGAGAAAATTTTAATAATAAATTCTATTGGTGGTAAGTACATTTATTATTGTTTCTGAATAATTTACCTTTACATAACTAATTTAAATAACCTTAGTAGATTATTTAAAAAAAATAGTTGTGGCCAACGATCGAATGTTGTGCCCAACGATCGAATTTTGTGCCAAGTTCAATGATGTTTTTTGTCTTAATTGTGACATACCTACTTTCTTATTTTTGTTAGTTATCTGACTTGGTCATTTAATATCCAAATCAGTGTAAAGGTGATAAATGTCCCCGTTTTAAGGGTATGAACAATTCAATTGGTATTAATTTTTATTTCATATTTTTTAGGTGCCGAAAAGCCAACTGAGACTGAGGGCGTTATTATTACTGTTATTTATTACATAATGTAATTAAGAATTTGTATCTTTTATATTAAAACAATAAACTGAATATTTTATTATGGAACATTTTTTTCTAGGTTATAATTATAATAATTATGGAATACTACTACAAATTTTATTAAAAATTACTACAATTTGTATGAATTTTTACTATTTATTGTGTGAAATTTTCGTATTTATTTTCATAAAATGCAATACATTTTTAATATAAATTTATACAATGAATAGCAAAAATTATAACAATTTGTAGAACAATTCTTATGATGCATTTGGATCTTTTTACTAAATATTGTAGATAATAACTCTACAATACATTCTCCACAAATATTTGGAAATTTTTACTACAAATTGTCCCTGTCCCTATATGTACTATTTATTGTAGAGAAAAATTGTACAATTGTAGAAATTTGTTCTACAATTTTTTTTCCGTGTATACGCCCAATTAGTATCCTGTGCACCGCAGCTAAAATATATGAAAAAATCTTATATGAACAAATACAAAGTCATTTAGATGATAATCAAATAATACCATCGAATCAGTCCGGCTTTAGTTGCAATAGGACACTACTGTCAATAACTGATGATATCATTACGGCAAATGATAATAACCTTCTTACTATTCTAGTACTTCTTGATTACACTAAAGCCTTTGATAGAATTAATAATCAGCTGTTGCTAGGAGTCTTGCATTTCATTGGTTTTAGCGATACAGCTTTGAATTTAGTACGTAACTACCTAAGTGATAGGTTTCAAAGAGTTAAATTACATAATCGTTTATCTTCTCCAAAAAATATAACAAACGGTGTTCCACAGGATTCTATTCTCGGGCCTCTATTCTTCTGTATTTATACTTGTTTATTTCAAGATTGCCTTCAGCATTGCCGCTCACATTTTTATGCCGACGATACACAGTTATATATATCCTTTCCCCCTAAAGATTTTCATAATAACATTAAAAACATAACTAGGGATTTAACGGCACTTTTTCAATTATCTAATGACTACTGCCTTGATATAAATTCTTCTAAATCGAAAACCCTGCTGTTTGGTCGAAAGCACTGTCGGCTTCAATATAAGGATCAATTTAACATTATAGTAAATAATGAAACTTTAGATACGGACCTACGGTTTGTAAAACACGTAAATCAGATTATAAAAAAATGTACGACTAACATCAAAATGATATACTACCATAAAAATGATATATGCAAATAAATACATCTTAACTCATCAAGCTAAACGTACGTTGTGCGAATCACTAGTATTTTCACATATGCATTATTGCGATTCGGTATATGGCCCTTGTGTAACACGATATGATAGTCAACGTCTTCAACACATGCAAAATATTTGTATTAGATTAGTGTATAATTAAAAAAAAAAAGGCAAAGAGTGTCAGCTAAGCGATTTGAATTGTCTTGGCTATCTGTTCAGGAAGCGCGTTTTTTACACACCTGTTGTCTCTACAGAAAAATTGTCAATCTTAAAACTCCCCCTACTTGTATAACAAAATAAGATTCAGGAGCGAAGTACACAATATTAATATTCGTAGAAAGGATGATATCTCTATTCCTCGACATTCCACTGCTATGTTCAAAAGTTCATTTTCATATTTAATAGGCCGTATCTTGAATCGTATACCAACAGAGTTTAAAAAATTAAGTCATGTAACTTTTAAAAATAAGTTGACATTTTTGTTACTTCGCGGACAGCTTTTGTTCGATTTTAAAATATAAAAATTAATTTGTGATTATTTGATTGATCTTTGTATATTTTTATATTTATTGCTTGAAGCAACGTTCACTAATTTTCATTGAGCTTCGTCTACTAGACTAGGTAGGTATTTATGATGTCTTTGTTATTAATTACAATTTTCATTTTTTTATGTGTATTCATTATGTATTTATATATGTACTACATTTAAGGGGTGTTTATATTTAAACTATTAATTTTGACCGGGCGTATTGAAAATCATTTTAGTCTGTCTTCTGATAGGCTACGATGAATACGATTCCTTTTCAGTATAGTAGATAATCCTTGTATTTTTGTTAAAACTTCTTGTGTTTCACTATTTTATGTATATTGATTCTGCTTCCTGAATAAATATTATTATTATTATTATTATTACTATTTCGTCCGTGCCACAAAAACACCTTCATCAAATTTGCTGGCTCTCTGTCGATATTTACGAATCATCCTGTATAAATGGCACCTAATATATTTTGTATTATCATTAGGTATAATAAATATACTAATAATTTATTTTTTAGTAAATATTTTCGTCTTCTAGAACAATAAAAGTACCTAATTATCAAAAACATGTTCTTACTTATTTGTGGCTCATCCTGTAAAGGAAAATAATGTTTGACCCCTTTTTATATTCGTAAAGTGCCAAAAGATGTTACAATATTTTCCTGAAATAAGCGTTATCAAATAAGTGGTATTTCTTAAGTTTAACACCATGTATCTCAAAAACCAGTAATAGAATTTAAATGGTCCCATGGTAACTATTGCTTAAGAGGTCGATAACTGCAACATATCAAACATTTATGACATTTAACAGGTCGCCACTTTTCCATAAGCGGTGTGCGGGATCTTTCTCTGTGTGCATAAAATGGTACCTTAGGCAACTACAGATTGAAACAAACCAAAATACCTACAAAAGGTACTTTAATATTTGTTCACTAAATTCTGAAGTTTTCTAAGTATAAAACGAACACTGAATCTTTTCTGACTTATTTCTTCGATATGAAACACCGGATTTATAATAG